AGAAAATTAACTCTATCCCAGCTGAAACCAGGACAGAAGGTCAATCGTGTGGTCAGGAATACTGAACAGTTTCCCGACAGTAACCATTTCTGTCCATGACAGCTCTTGTCCACGCATCCTGCCCGCTGGAGTGGGGTTGGGATGGCTGAATGGGGACAGATGTGTCCTGTTAGTCATCCTGCAGCCGCTGCTCTTCCTGGCGCAGCCGCTCCAGGTGCTGCCCGTCGCTTGCAGTTGCTGCCAGGGGTTTGGCAAGTGCTGCCCGTTCTCACCAGGGAGCTTCCTTTCATCTCGGCAGCTGGAGCCAGGCTGGAGCTGCCAGGTCCTTTCCCTCAGGGTTGGGAGGGACTTGCAGGCGATAGAGAGTGGCGACGGGGAGAACAGGCACGTGGAGGTGCTGGGGAGCCGGCGGGTCTTGGGCTCTCCTGGAGCACCAGCCTAGACCGGCCCTGCAGGGGAGTGGGGCTGCTCCCAGGGCACTGGGGTGCAGAAGGAGTGGGGCTGGCCGAGCCTGCCCCTGCGGCATCGCTGCGCTCCCACATGAGACGGGACAGGGTGTCCTGGGAGACGCTGGGAGAAGCAAAGGCCCCTTGGGCAGACCAAGGACGGGGCTCTTCATGGTGTCACCCTGCAGCGGAGAAACCCATCAGCAGCTTGGGGAGTGAGTCAGGCACCGGCTCCCCAGCTGGCTTCCTCGGTGTGTCTGGGGTGGGGAGGAAACAGGCTGAACTGGCCAGGACCTGTGATCTCCTCTCCGAGTCCCATGTGAGCTCCAGGCTCCCTCCCCACCTCGCAAGCGACGCCTTTACGCCCACAGTTTGCAAATGAATTAAAAGCCTGGTCTGCGGGTGAGGGACGTATTCTGGATGCTGCAGCTAAACCCCACGCACTGTCTCTGCACTCGGAAAGATGAACCCCAAACTTCCCTACGTTCTCCTGGCTGGGGCTGCGGCGATAATCTTCATTCTCTCCTGCATGCTGCTGAGCAGGGGGAGGCGATCACCCAGCTGTGAATCCCAGCCCCGCATCCTGGAGAAGATGGGACCCACGAGCCAGAGCCTGGTCTTTGCCGATCTGACGCCCGAAGAGATGCTGCAAGTGGTGCGGTACCTGCAGGGAAACCTCGGGGTGCAGCTGGTTGACGCCTCGCGTGCAAAGCCCTCCGACAACTGCATCGCCTCCATCGACGTGCAGGTCCCCGCCAAGGCAGAGGTGCTGCGGTTCCTGGATGGTGGGGGGCCTCGCCCCCCCCGGGAGGCGCTGGCTGTGCTGTACTTTGGGAACCAGCCAGACCCCAACGTCACCGAGTACGTGGTGGGTCCGCTGCCGACACCGGTGTATCACCGGGACGTCACGGTGCAGAAGTACAGGGGGAAGGTGCCGTACCACCGCAGACCGATGCTGGGCAGTGAGTACGAGCAGGTGGGAGTGTTCTTACAGATGGTGGCATTTGCTGCAGCCCCAACCTTCCTGAAAGAAGTGTTTGAGTACGACGGCACCAACGTGGCATTTCAGACCACGGCCCCTCACGGGTTTCAGTCTGGAGACCGTAAGTCCTGGTTCATCGTGTTTCAGAACGTGAGCGGGTTCTTCGTGCACCCGGTGGGGCTGGAGGTGCTGGTGGACCACAGCAGCCTGGACATCTCCCGGTGGGCGGTGAGCAGGGTCTTCTACAACGGGCAGTACTACAGGGACATGGTTCAGCTGGAGAGCGCCTACGTGCAGGGTCGCATCAGCGTGGAGAAGGTGAGGAAGGCGCCGCGGGATGGGGACTTCTCATCCATGAAGCCCCGAGCACCTTCGGCTGCGCTGTTCCCTTTGCAGTATGAGCCCCAGGGTCCCCGCTACAGCGTCAGGAACAACCACGTCCTCTTCCAGGCCTGGAGCTTTGCCTTTGGGATGAGTGTGAACACGGGCTTGCGCCTGTTTGACATCCGACACAAGGGGGAGAGGGTTGCCTATGAAATCAGTGTCCAAGAAGCATTGTCAGTGTATGGCTCCAACTGCCCCGGAGGAATGTCAACGAGGTACATGGATGGGAGCTTTGGCATCGGGCGCCACACTTCCCCCTTGGTGCGAGGGGTCGACTGCCCATACTCAGCCACCTACGTCGACACACACTCTCTGTCTGAGACCCTCAGCCCCAGTAAGAGAAAGGCTTCCCTCTGCATTTTTGAGCAGAACCTGGGCTCCCCTCTGAGGCGCCACTACTCCAACTTGCAGTCGCTCTACTACGGGGGGCTGGTCAACTCTGCACTGGTCGTTCGCTCCATTGCGACCGTGGGCAACCACGACTACGTGTGGGACTTCATCTTCTACCAGAACGGGGCCATTGAAGGCAAGGTCAAGGCCACGGGGTACACGAGCTCCTCCTTTCTCCATGGGGATGGTCTGAGATACGGCAACAGGGTTTGGGAGCACACACTGGGTACGATACGCACTCATTTCATCAACTATAAAGTGGACTTGGACGTGGGAGGTAGGTCTGGGTCTTGTCTCTCCTTTGTGCCCTCCCCGAGTACTTTTAGACTCCCCAAAATTGACTTCTTTTTTGGTCCTTATACAGATTTTTCTTTCCCTGTGTGGGGTAGGATGGTGTGCTGACACAGAGCCGCTTCCCTTCTGTTTTTCGAGCAGTGAAAGGTGTTGTCCTACAGGGAGAGGTTCCCCCTCTGTCCCTCGCAGTTACCCCTAAGCATGTGCAGAGCTGCGGCTTCCTGGGCTGGGTAACGCCAGCACTGCCGTGTGCCCAGCCCGTGCCCTAATGGGACACATCCTTCCCCTCCTGCCTGGGCAGACAGACCCAGCCCCAACCTTGCCCCATTGGCCTCAACGCTTCCGGGGCTCTGTAGAAGTTGGGATTTTTCCCTCCGCCGCCCTGCCCCTGTCCTGAGCCCCAAACGATAGTAGGAGTCGATCAAGCTGGTTTGTTGGGATGTGGTTTCCAGCTCACATTCCTAATTCCTACAGCTTTGTCGAGCTGTTCCTGCTGCTCGTGTGCGAGTGGGGCTGGCAGCTGCCCTCTCCGTAGGGCTGCAGGCACAGCAGGCAGACGCTGGGCTGGCGGCCAGCTCTGAGCTTTGGGCTGTGCTGCATTTTGCCAGGGGTACAAGGGTTCCTTTGCTCACAGCAGCAACGGGAACGTCAGCTGCAGTTTTCTAGATCTTCCCCTACCATTTATGCCACAAATCTGTCCTCACATGCCTGCTGAAATTGCATTTGCTGCATGCTCCTGCCATCTACTAAAAATTGCCCTATTTCCTTTTAATTGGGAAACACAAATTTAAAGACTGTTTCATGCAGTTTTAGGATGAGTTTTGAGTACCTAAGTAAAAATGGAGGACTGCAAAAATGTGAGAACAGGGAAAAGGCAGATGAAATCAGAGTGTCACTGCTACCACTGGAAGAGGAGGTGTGGGGTTAGAAGTTTTGTTCACATCAGAAAAGGGAAGAAAATGAGCACGGTGGCGGTTGCTGGGCGTGGATCCTCTTCCATGGGGCTCGGGGTCTGGCGCTGCCCTCGATGGCAGCCCCGGCGCTCAGGCCCAAGGCGCTGCTCAAACCTTCCAGGATGGCCAGAGGTTCAGCTCTGAAATGGCCCTTACGCCAGCTGGAAACTCGCGTGGGGCCGAGGGGAGCGGAGCACGGGAGGGCGTTTCACCATACACCTCGAGCGCTCTCAGCCAGATCTTTGCCATCTTGTCCCCAGATTTATTTGCTCTTGTGCCCCTCCTGTTGCTCTGAGCCTCTGGCTCATGACTCTTCTTTGTGGAAAGACCTGAACTGCATAGCACTGCTCCAGTTTTGTGATGTGCAAATGTCTTGGAGCCTGGGCTCTTTCTAGTGCTTTCCAGCTCACAGGATGCATGCTGATGAGCACAAACACAGTACCTGGGCCATCAGGCGCTTGAGTTAATTAGACTGTGCTTGCACGGGGAAGCAAACCTGTTCTTCTGCACTGGGACAAGGTTCCTGTCTTGTCTGCACAGAGAGGGAGAGTCCCCATGGATGGTGGTGTCTGCCACAGAATGGTGTTGCCTGGGTCAGACAAACGTACAGTCATACAGCCACAGATAAACGTACACGACGTACAGTCACGCTGCCGTGGAGCTGCGGAGCGGGAACTGCTCTCACAGGCAGGAACCGGTGCTTGGAGCGTGGGGTATGGGAAGGGAGGATGGGGAGAGCAAGCTCTGGCTGCAGTGATGTCCGTAGGGAACAGGGGACTGTGGGGATGCTCCTCAGCGACTTTGCTTTGGCTTCGCAGGGGTGAAGAACTCCCTGGTGGCCCACGACATGGCGTTTGAGATGGCGCGGGCTCCCTGGAGCCCGGAGCAGCAGATAGAGCGGCCACGACTCACCAAGAAAGTCCTGGACACGGAGGACCAGGCTGCCTTCCGGCTCCAGTCGAAGATGCCCAGATACATCTACTTTGCGGCCAACAGCAAAAACAAGTGGGGCCACCAGCGTGGTTACAGGATCCAGATCACCAGTTTTGCGGGGGACCATGTCCCCGAAGCCAGCTCCATGGAGAGGGCCATCAGCTGGGCAAGGTCAGGCTGCTCTGACTGGGACGGCAGGTTCTCAGAGATGCCCCCAGCCCCGCCGGCTGGGGAGGCATGGCGTGGGTGTTCCTTGGTGGGGAGGCACAAGGCAGACGCTCTCCTGGGCTGGGGTTACTCCGTGGGAGCAGGCGTATGCTCTGCGGACTCTCTGGGGAGCTGGCTTTTCGCTCTGCCCTGCCCCAGGGGGCTGCTCCCGTCTCTTTTCTTGTCCTCAGGTACCAGCTGGCCGTCACCCGACGGAAGGAGGAGGAGCCCACCAGCACCAGCATCTACAACCAGAACGACCCCTGGACGCCCACCGTCACCTTCGCCAACTTCATCAACAACGAGACCATCACCAACGAGGTGAGCTGGGGTACCTGGGGCTGGAGCTGTGATACCCCACCCCGGGCTGAGCGGGAGCCCCAGAGCTGCCCCAGGGGCTGAGTGACCCTGGCGTTGCCCGCAGGACAGCGGGCTCAGCCGGGAGAGCAGCAGCCCCGGGGAATGAGGAAAGCGGGTTTGAGTATCCCCTTTTCTGTGTATCTGCTTGGTGCTTCGATCAGAGCATGTAGATCAGAGTGCAGAGCAGAAGCTCGTTTCTCCCTATGGAGAAATGCTGGCAAAACATCAGGAAAATCTCTGCGAGGCTGGGGCTTGGCCGTGGGGACCAGGGCAAGGGCCCTTCTGCTGGGTGGACGTCTGCAGCTGTGGCTGTGGGCAGCTCTTTGGAGGAGGGAAGGGATCATTCCCAGGAGGGGGAGCTTGGCATGTGGGAACGTGGCCAAGCTGGTTCCCCATGGAGGTCCTCTCCTGCTCTTCTGTAACTTTCCGTGGCCCCTGCACAGATTTTGGTCGCTCCCGCTCCAGGCTTCTGAAATAACCATGGTCTTGTGGCTCCTCCCTGCCTAGGACCTGGTTGCCTGGATAACCGCTGGTTTCCTTCACATCCCGCACTCGGAGGATATTCCCAACACTGTGACGGTGGGAAACTCGGTCGGCTTTCTCCTGAGACCCTACAACTACTATGACCTGGACCCCTCCATATACTCGCACGATGGTGTGTTTTTCACCAGCGAGCAGGACTTCACGGCGTGTGAAATCAACCCTATCGCATGCCTGCCCAAAACTGCCTCTTGTTTGCCAAACTTCCCCCCGTTCACCTATGATGGTTTCCAAAATATGAGCAGGCTTTAATGCTCCAGGATGGTGTTAGGAGACACAGTCAGAGACAAGAGGTTGACTGTTCTGTCTCAGATTTTCAGTTTTTTAGTGAAGTTGTCTCAATTTCCAGTTGTGCCATGACTTCATTTTTTATCCTTGCTTTTAAAATAGTGCTCTTTAAAAGGGAAGCATAATCTTCCTGGCATGGTGCCAGTCAGGAGTCTACGTTATCTCTGTTAATTGCTAAATTTGAGTCTGTTGCAGGAGGAAAGTGAGGAGAAAATCCTGTTCCTCTGCTGTAGAAGCAAGCGCTGTGTAGTGCCTAACTCAGGTTAAAAAAAATGAAAATTATTCTGGTCCAGTGCTCTCTCGAGTGTCTCATTCTTACAACGTACAGCAGCATCTCTGGGGGGGATGATGCTGGGTCTCCACTGTGTTTCCTGCATCCACAAACCAGCCCAGCAGCAAGGCCCTGGGTGCCCGTCCGGGCACGGGGATAGTCCAGCCGGAGGGCAGGAGGGATGGGCTGGCAACCCCGGGGCTCTGGGGGAAGGACCGAGGTGGGTGCTGGCACCGAGCTCTGTGGGTGCTTGGGGTGAGGCTGGGGACAGAGCAAGGACCTGCTTGGGCTGCAGCTCTCGGGCACTTGCTGCTGGCTGCAGGTGAGGGGTACAGAGGGGACTATTGCAGGGACAGGTCTCACTGTCCCTGCGCCAGCACCGTCCCCATGGGTGCCTCTGCGTGAACCAGCTGAACCTCAGCCCCGCGGGCAGCACGGGGGCCAGCTCGGCCCATCACCGCCTGATGCTGGCCAGGTTCACGAGAGCCCTACGCCAGGCTGGAGCCAGGGCACGGGGGCTTCACGGCTGGCGGTGCAGCACTGCCAGCGCCGCTGCCCATCTGCCAGGATGCTCGGTGGGCTCTGGAGCCCTTCTTCCCCCTCCTTGCACCTCTGTCTGTGCCAGGACATAGCCCACGATCAGCATCTTTGGGGCGGTGATGAGCAGCTGTCCCCTCCCTCCCTCTGGGCTGCAGGACTGGTGTCTTCCCACGTGTGGGGACATCGGCAGCAGCGTGTGATGCTGCGGTCTCTGCACAGGCTGCCGCGGCGTTGCTGGGGGCAGCAGGGCCCGCAGGATGGGGCCACGGTGCTGGGCTCAGCAGTGCTCTGCCTGTCTGGCTGTTTGCATCGGCAGGGGTAAGACTGGATGATCTTAAAGGTCTTTTCCAACCTAAACAATTCTATGAATTCTAATTCTAAGAGAAGATGGTGCAGGGAGATGCATTTATTTCCCCCAAGGCACTGGATCTGTCCTCTCCAAGGTCTGCAGCGTAGCATGTGGGACAAGAGAGGACGGACAGATGCTGAAGTATTAAGTTTACTTAAAATTATGACCCACTGGGGGAAGCAGAGCAAAGTTGCCTTTTATGGTTCCCAGCAAATCCCGGGCACGTCTGAGGACATCCCCCTGCGCCCTCCCTGTGAACTGCTCTGGGCTGTTCCCTGTTGAGAAAACAAGGGAAAAGCCAAACCCAGCCACACCCAGCCCCTTCCGTCAGTGCGTCGCTGGAGGATTCTGCAGCTGGAGACCCGCTGTGCTGGACTGCGAGAGCTCCCAGTGCCTCAGCAGACATGAACGTGAAAACCGTGCTCATCCTCCTCCTTCTGGCCTTAGCCACGATATTTGCTTTGGTCTGTGTGCTGCTGACCAGAGGACGGGGCCCCAGCACCTGCCAGCACCAGCCCTGTAGCAGGAGGCCCCCGACGACAGCCAGAGCCTGGTCTTTGCCGATCTGACGCCCGAAGAGATGCTGCAAGTGGTGCGGTACCTGCAGGGAAACCTCGGGGTGCAGCTGGTTGACGCCTCGCGTGCAAAGCCCTCCGACAACTGCATCGCCTCCATCGACGTGCAGGTCCCCGCCAAGGCAGAGGTGCTGCGGTTCCTGGATGGTGGGGGGCCTCGCCCCCCCCGGGAGGCGCTGGCTGTGCTGTACTTTGGGAACCAGCCAGACCCCAACGTCACCGAGTACGTGGTGGGTCCGCTGCCGACACCGGTGTATCACCGGGACGTCACGGTGCAGAAGTACGGGGGGAAGGTGCCGTACCACCGCAGACCTGTTACCGGCAAGGAGTACGTGGATATCAACGCCCTCATCCAGCGGGAGCTGCGAAAGGCACCGCGCTTCCTCGCCACGTGCTGTGAGTCTGACGGGGCTGACCTGGCCATCCTCACAACGGCCCCGCGGGGCTTCAAGTCCGGCGATCGTGCGACCTGGTTTGTCCTCTTCCACGACGTGGCTGGCACTGGGTACTACCTCTCACCGGTGGGGCTGGAGGTGCTGGTGGAGCACGGGGACCTCAACGTCTCCCGCTGGCATCTGCGCCAAGTCTTCTACAATGGCCAGTACTTTGCCAGCACGGGGGATCTGGAGGATGCGTTTGTGGCCAGCTTGCTGGAGGTTGTCAGGATCAAGAAGCCCCGGGCTGAAGCAGTGCTGGGCTCGATGAGACCCCGGCACCCACCCAGCTCCCCGGGGCCGCTGCAGTATGAGCCCCAGGGTCCCCGCTACAGCGTCAGGGACAACCGCGTCACCTTCCAGGGCTGGAGCATCACCTTTGGCATGAACCCCAACTCTGGCCCACGCCTCTTTGACATCAGGTACCACGGGGAGAGGATTGTCTACGAGCTGAGTCTCCAGGAAGCCTTAGCCCTGTACGGCTCCAACTGCCCCGGGGGCATGTCGACCCGCTACCTTGACGGGAGCTTCGGAATCGGCAGGTTTGCCTACGAGCTTGTCCGTGGCCTCGACTGCCCCTACACAGCAACCTACGTGGACAGGCACTACCTGGCGGAGTCAGACACCCCCAAAACCAACCAAAACTCACTCTGCATTTTTGAGCATGACGCTGCCCTCCCTCTGCGGCGCCACTTCTCTGACTTGCAGTCCTTGTACTACGGTGGGCTGCGGAAAAACACGCTGGTCATCCGCACCATCTCCACTCTCATCAACTATGACTACATCTGGGACTTCATGTTCCATGGCAGCGGGGCCGTGGAGGTCCGGGTGCACGCCACCGGCTACATCAGCTCCTGCTTCCTCCACGGCCAAGGCACCGACTATGGCAACAGGGTTGGGCCCCACACGCTGGGGACGATGCACCTCCACCACATCCACTACAAGGTGGACCTGGATGTCAACGGTAGGTCTGGGCGCCTTTGTGCATGGCTGTGGGTCTCTGTGGGCTGCAGGTCTGCGAGGGGCGTGGAGCTTGAGAGGGTTTTACCTTCTGCTTCACAGGGCAGCTGAACTCTCTGGAGACCCAGGACATGGAGTACGAGCTCGTGAAAGATCCCTGGAGCATGCAGAACTCCATCGAGCGGCCGTACCTCCGCAGGGAGAGGCTGGAGAGGGAAGACGAGGCCGCGTTCCTGCTCAACACCCCCATGCCCCGCTACCTCTCCTTTGCCAGCCCCAAGCCCAACAAGTGGGGACATCCACGCAGCTACCGGATCCAGATCTCCAGCTTCGCTGGGGAGCACCTGCCCACCAGCAGCCCCATGGAGAGGTCCATCAGCTGGGGCAGGTGGGTGCCGGGGCTGGGGCGCGCGTGGTCCCCACCCCCTCTCCTCCCACCCTGCCACCGCGTCCCCGGCTGCTTCTGCCTCCCGGCAGAGTGGGGGCTGCTGCCGCCCAGCAAGCCTCTGCCAGGCTGCAGGGAAGGGTTAAACAGCGAACACGCATATTTTTTGGCTCTGAAGATCCATTGAAAGGTTGCTCAATGACATCTGTTCATAGTAGTTCACAGGCAGGAATCTGACCTTAGGAAAGATTAATTTAAAGCAATCATAGGCTGTAGGACAAGCTCCCAAGGGAGTGCACTGGCATCCCCAGGTCTTGACATCTTCATGTATGGACAGAATGTCTTTTGGAAAAATGCTTGGGCTAAACACAGAACTGGCTCACTGCCAGGGTGAAATTTAACAGCTCACATTCTGGGGGAGGTTGTGGGAGTTAAAAGCGGCTGTGGCTGAAGTGAGTGTGTCAGGCAGTGAGCAGCAGCATCTGTGCCTGGACGCGTTCGTGTTTTCTGACCATGCTGGAGCAGCCGTGGGCAGCGAGCGATCTCCCACGAGCCCGAAGGTGCTGCCGCTGCTGCCTGTCAC